TGATATAGAAAGGGTAGTAGATACCTGGAATAGCCTTCCAGTGGGAGCAGTAACAGTGATATAGAAAGGGTAGTAGATACCTGGAATAACCTTCCAGTGGAAGCAGTACCAGTGATATAGAAAGGGTAGTAGACACCTGGAATAGCCTTCCAGTGGGAGCAGTAACAGTGATATAGAAATGGTAGTAGATACCTGGAATAGCCTTCCAGTGGGAGCAGTAACAGTGATATAGAAAGGGTAGTAGATACTAGGAATAGCCTTCCAGTGGGAGCAGTAACAGTGATATAGAAAGGGTAGTAGATACCTGGCATAGCCTTCCAGTGGGAGCAGTAACAGTAGATACCTGGAATAGCCTTCCAGTGGGAGCAGTAACAATGATATAGAAAGGGTAGTAGATACCAGGAATAGCCTTCCAGTGGGAGCAGTAACGGTGATATAGAAAGGGTAGTAGATACCTGGAATAGCCTTCCATTGGGAGCAGTAACGGTGATATAGAAAGGGTAGTAGATACCTGGAATAGCCTTCCAGTGGGAGCAATAACAGTGATATAGAAAGGGTAGTAGATACCTGGAATAGTCATCCAGTGGGAGCAGTAACATTGATATAGAAAGGGTAGTAGATACCTGGAATATTCTTCCAGTGGGAGCAGTAACAGTGATATCGAAAGAGTAGTAGATACCTGGAATAGCCTTCCAGTGGGAGCGTAACGATATAGAAAGGGTAGTAGATACCTGGAATAGCTCCAGTGGAGCGTAACGGTGATATAGAAAGGTAGTAGATACGAAATAGCCTTCCAGTGGAGCCGTAACGGTGATATAGAAAGGGTAGTAGATACCCGGGAAGCCTTCCATTGGGAGCGTAACGGTGATATAGAAAGGGTAGTAGCCTCTCCAGAGCGTAACGTGATATAGAAAGGGTAGTAGATACCTGGAATAGCCTTCCAGTGGGAGCTAACGTGATATAGAAAGGGTAGTAGATACCTGGAATAGCCTCCAGTGGGAGCAGTAACAGTGATATAGAAAGGGTAGTAGATACCTGGAATAGCCTTCCAGTGGGAGCGGTAACAGTGATATAGAAAGGGTAGTAGATACCTGGAATAGGCTTCCAGTGGGAGCGGTAACAGTGATATAGAAAGGGTAGTAGATACCTGGAATAGGCTTCCAGTGGGAGCGGTAACAGTGATATAGGAAGGGTAGTAGATACCTGGAATAGCCTTCCAGTGGGAGCGGTAACAGTGATATAGGAAGGGTAGTAGATACATGGAATAGCCTTCCAGTGGGAGCAGTAACAGTGATATAGAAAGGGTAGTAGATACCTGGAATAGCCTTCCAGTGGGAGCAGTAACGGTGATATAGAAAGGGTAGTAGATACCTGGAATAGCCTTCCATTGGGAGCAGTAACGGTGATATAGAAAGGGTAGTAGATACCTGGAATAGCTGCCCAGTGGGAGCAGTAACAGTGATATAGAAAGGGTAGTAGATACCTGGAATAGCCTTCCAGTGGGAGCGGTAACAGTGATATAGAAAGGTTAGTAGATACCTGGAATAGCGTTCCAGTGGAAGTAGTGACAGTGATATAGAAAGGGTAGTAGATACCTGGAATAGCCTTCCAGTGGGAGCAGTAACAGTGATATAGAAAGGGTAGTAGATACCTGGAATATCCTCCAAGTGGAAGCAGTAATAGTGATATAGAAAGGGTAGTAGATACCTGGAATAGCCTTCCAGTGGGAGCAGTAACAGTGATATAGAAAGGGTAGTAGATACCGGGAATAGCCTTCCAGTGGAAGCAGTAACAGTGATATAGAAAGGGTAGTAGATACCTGGAATAGCCTTCCAGTGGGAGCAGTAACAGTGATATAGAAAGGGTAGTAGATACCTGGAATAGCCTTCCAGTGGGAGCAGTAACAGTGATATAGAAAGGGTAGTAGATACCTGGAATAGCCTTCCAGTGGGAGCGGTAACAGTAATATAGAAAGGGTAGTAGATACATGGAATAGCCTTCCAGTGGGAGCGGTAACAGTGATATAGAAAGGGTAGTAAATACCTGCAATAGCCTTCCAGTGGGAGCAGTAACAGTGATATAGAAAGGGTAGTAGATACCTGGAATAGCCTTCCAGTGGGAGCAGTAACGGTGATATAGAAAGGGTAGTAGATACCGTGAAGATACTTCAAGTGGGCCTGGGAGAGTTGGAGTCCCTTTGTGATTGATCAATTCTCGTTGCCTTTTTCACTATTATCTTCGTACGGTTACAATCTATTTACTGTTGATACATTTTGAGATTATTTTTGAAACACTGTAATAAGTTGGAACAGGTTTTATCCACCACCTCCAAAAGTCACTTTTCTGAAGTTTTAATAAATCTCTGCATTATGTATCTCTGGGATCTGACTTACATGATTTATTGATCCCCACTGAGGGGCTTAATACAAACGGGTAAAGTCAGGTCCCCTGCAGTCCTTCACCTCACTACAGCTGGCTCTGGTCCTGAATAATATGGATAAATGTGAATGAATACTCTGATAAGGATTTAATAGCCTGCTTTTCTCCTTGCCTCAGTGTTACCACCGCCGCTGGAAAGACATGTATCCACAACTATTTCACTTCTGGGAGAGCAGCAAGTGCATTGTGGGTATGTGCAGATATAAACACAGCATCACTGTGTGACAGAAAATAAAATAAAGGAAAAAATATAATTGATATAATATACTGTATATTGTTAAGCTATATTATTCATGGACTGAATTTTGCCAGCTGAAACTGTGTGATGACAGACAGGCTGAGCCGATATGTACCCAAAATATGTCAAATTAAACCAATAAAAACACAGTAATTAATTCTAAAAACACACTAACATAAAAAGTCACTCAATGATTTTTCATTATTCTTAATTAACAATATTAATCAACTCAATCACCTTCATCGTGAACTAACACCATTGCATCCATATTTATAACCAGACTCCGTCGGCGCCAGCCACGCCAGGATAGCGAGTTTCCTGCTGTCAATTCTGACTCAGTGTCCACGGCCATCTTGTTTTACACCAATCCTCGTCCAATCACATCCCTACTGACCAAAGCCACCCATTTACAACCAGAGAGCAACTGCCAAGGGTTTGATACCAATTTTCTGGAAACAAAAAGTGTCTCATGCTCCATTACTTCATGGTTTCGAAGCATGGAAGAGCTCCTGTTTAATGCCAGGGGCAGCACCCAGATCTACCGTAATATCTTGACCCACTGGTTAATTTCTAAAGAGTCGGTAGATGTCCATGCCCTGTTGCCCCGGGTGGACTTGGCTGACGCCCAACCTGTCTAGTCGGGGCCTCTTGGGGCTCTTCTTTTACGTCCAAGACCTGGTTTTCTAAAACGGATTTCTCTGAAATGTGTGATTTTACAATTTTTTGTGACTATCGTACTCATTTTGGAGATTTGCTATATAACCTTAAGCTTCTAGAGGTGTTTGTGCTCACCATTACCTCATCGTTGATATCAAAGCCACGTGGTGGGCCTTGTCCTCGGCTAAAGCATCGCACTGCCTTCTATTGTCTATTTTCTCTTATATTCAGAAAAAGATATATATCTTATATTACAAAACAAGGAGAGCAATTGCCATAGAAACCAATAGAATCAGGAGGCGCACTCCATTTGATAACTTTTCCCCATTTTTCATATCACAGCATTTTGCTAAATCCCTCCAGGTGTTGGAAACTGACCAGACCTGTCATGCCAGCAATATAATATGAATAGAATGTATTAATACTCTTTCCAATCGTGTTTTGTAAAAGAACTAAGCCAAAGAATTGACACAATTTAATAAAACACTGCTGGTTGTCACCCAAGCTACCCTGCCCCAACCTTATCATCGCACCCCATCCCACCAAGTTAACACCCAGAGCTCCTGTCCTCCCCTTTAAGTTTCCTGGGTGTGCGTGCAGCCGTTAGTATATTCCTACTAATTCCACTCAATGACTGTTATCCCGATGGCTGACATTCAAATCTGAGGACAGACCCTCTCTGGCTCCATGAGTACAAACACATGTCCCCATTCTCTTTTCCAGTGACTGTCAGTCTTTTGGAGCAGATTGGTGATCAGACCGCCTGTCTGCGGCTCGGACAGCGTCAAAATTCCAGCATTAAGCCCCCTACTCTTGGAATAGCTAGCATGTTCTTTAAGAAGTAGTCTGCTTCGCAATCAGCATTTATAACCATTTTCTGGTTCACTTTCTAGGGAATTTTAAAAAAATGTATACAGATCTTTTTGCTACTGGCATTACAAACGACCGTAATTAGCCTTCAAATTGAGGACAAAATGGAATGTTTCCAGCTTAGATGTGCACTTTTATATCACATATAATAAAATAGACAATTTATAATTTTTATGTTGTTATTTTTTTTTTACACGCGCAAGGATCAGGAAAATTTGAAATGTAACCCTTTCCGTGACTTTCAGCCAGTAAGGCGGCTAAACCAAGGCAGCTGTGTTACATTTTGGAAACAGCTGCTCTGCTTGCGCGCGGGTTTTGCACGATGATGAATTTTGTATTCTCTCTTTTATAAGCCGCTGTCGGGACCCCCCCCCCCAACGCCAGGACATTTTGGCTTGTGCCTCGGGATCAGATTAATTGTGGTAATGAGTGGAGGGGCCGTGGCTTTGATCTGTGGGGAGAAAGCTCACATCCCAGCTGGATTGACAAGTTTGATTCCTAGCTAAGCAGGCAGGAGAGAAATCACTTCCAGGTCAGAGGTCGTCGAGCAGTATGTCGTGAGCGCCTTAATACTGAACGCCTGAAATTAGTTAGTTTGGAAATAAACTCTAGCCCACATGAAAGAAGTGATGTGATGTTTCTGTAAAAAATGCTATCCGGCAGAAGGCTCATTATCAGACTTGTTATTCCCCTTTTATTAAGTAGTTATGTGTAGCTATGTACAAAGGTAACAATGTCCGCAGGAGACCATTCGCACACCGCATGTATAATAACACAGGAGATTTAGCCTTCCGCCATGACGCAAGCAGTAACAGAGGGATTTATCAAAGTGTTGGGATACACGAAGTGTAAAAGGGAGGTAATTACCCATGGAATAGTGTTGGTGATTTCATTTCTGGAATAGTTAGATTGTGGCTTCATTTTCTAATTTGTGACATTAATTGACCACCTCTACCAGGATTGAAATAAATGTTTATTTCAAAGCAGCTATTTTGCCCTAACTTTGGTTCCAATGTCCCACAGATTGCTGTTTAGTGAATAACCCCCAAAACTACCCTCCCTAGATACTGTTGTCATTGTAGTATCCTAAATCAAGGAGAAGACTGTCAGCCCATGTTACCGCTACCGACAAACAGGAAACAGGCATGTTACTGCTACCAAAAACAGGAAACAGGCATGTTACCGCTACCGACAAACAGGAAACAGTCATGTTACTGCTACCAAAAACAGGAAACAGGCATGTTTCCGCTACCAACAAACAGTAAAACAGGCATGTTACGGCTACCGACAACCAGGAAACAGGCATGTTACCGTTACCGACAAACAGGAAACAGGCATGTTACCGCTACCTACAAACAGTAAAACAGGCATGTTACCGTTACCGACAAACAGGAAACAGGCATGTTACCGCTACCGACAAACAGGAAACAGGCATGTTACCGCTACCAAAAACAGGAAACAGGCATGTTACGGCTACCGCCAAACAGGAAACAGGCATGTTACGGCTACCGCCAAACAGGAAACAGGCATGTTACCGTTACGACAACCAGGAAACAGGCATGTTACCGCTACCGACAGCCAGGAAACAGGCATGTTACCGCTACCGACAAACAGGAAACAGGCATGTTACTGCTACCGACAAACAGGAAACAGGCATGTTACCGCTACCAAAAACAGGAAACAGGCATGTTACTGCTACCGACAACCAGGAAATAGGCATGTTACCACTACCGACAACCAGGAAACAGGCATGTTACCGCTACCGACAAACAGGAAACAGGCATGTTACTGTACGACAAACAGGAAACAGGCATGTTATACGACAAACAGGAAACAGGTTACACCAAAAACAGGAAACAGGCATGTTACTGTTACTACCGACAACCACAGGCATGTTAACCGAGGAAACAGGCATGTTACCGCTACCAAAAAGTAAAACAGGCATGTTACCGTTACCGACAAACAGGAAACAGGCATGTTACCGCTGACAAACAGGAAACAGGCATACCGACAACCAGGAAATAGGCATGTTACCACTACCGACAACCAGGAAACAGGCATGTTACCGCTACCGACAAACAGGAAACAGGCATGTTACTGTTATCGACAAACAGGAAACAGGCATGTTACTGTTACTGACAAACAGGAAACAGGCATCTTACCGCTACCGACAAACAGGAAACAGGCATGTTACGGCTACCGACAAACAGGAAACAGGCACGTTACCGCTACGACAACCAGGAAACAGGCATGTTACCGCTACCGACAACCAGAAAACAGGCATGTTACCGCTACCGACAAACAGGAAACAGGCATGTTACCGCTACCAAAAACAGGAAACAGGCATGTTACTGCTACAGACAAACAGGAAACAGGCATGTTACCGTTACTGACAAACAGGAAACAGGCATGTTACTGCTACCGACAAACAGGAAACAGGCATGTTACTGCTACCAAAAACAGGAAACAGGCATGTTACCGCTACCGACAAACAGGAAACAGGCATGTTACCGTTACTGACAAACAGGAAACAGGCATGTTACCGCTACTGACAAACAGGAAACAGGCATGATACCGTTACCAAAAAGAGGAAACAGGCATGTTACCGCTACGACAAACAGGAAACAGGCATGTTACCGTTACCAAAAACAGGAAACAGGCATGTTACTGCTACCAAAAACAGGAAACAGGCATGTTACCGCTACCGACAAACAGGAAACAGGCATGTTACAGTTACCGACAACCAGGAAACAGGCATGTTACCGCTACCGACAAACAGGAAACAGGCATGTTACCGCTACCGACAAACAGGAAACAAGCATGTTACTGCTACCGACAAACAGGAAACAGGCATGTTACCGCTACCAAAAACAGGAAACAGGCATGTTACTGCTACCGACAACCAGGAAACAGGCATGTTACCACTACCGACAACCAGGAAACAGGCATGTTACCGCTACCGACAACCAGGAAACAGGCATGTTACTGTTACCGACAAACAGGAAACAGGCATGTTACCGTTACGACAAACAGGAAACAGGCATGTTACCGTTACCGACAAACAGGAAACAGGCATGTTACGGCTACCAACAAACAGGAAACAGGCACGTTACCGCTACGACAACCAGGAAACAGGCATGTTACCGCTACCGACAACCAGAAAACAGGCATGTTACCGCTACCGACAAACAGGAAACAGGCATGTTACTGCTACTGACAACAGGAAACAGGCATGTTACCACTACCAAAAACAGGAAACAGGCATGTTACCACTACCGACAACCAGGAAACAGGCATGTTACCGCTACCGACAAACAGGAAACAGGCATGTTACCGTTATCGATAAACAGGAAACAGGCATGTTACCGTTACCGACAAACAGGAAACAGGCATCTTACCGCTACTGACAAACAGGAAACAGGCATCTTACCGCTACCGACAAACAGGAAACAGGCATGTCACGGCTACCGACAAACAGGAAACAGGCACGTTACCGCTACGACAACCAGGAAACAGGCATGTTACCGCTACCGACAACCAGAAAACAGGCATGTTACCGCTACCGACAAACAGGAAACAGGCATGTTACTGCTACCGACAAACAGGAAACAGGCATGTTACCGTTACTGACAAACAGGAAACAGGCATGTTACTACTACCGACAAACAGAAAACAGGCATGTTACCGTTACCAAAAACAGGAAACAGGCATGTTACTGCTACAAACAAACAGGAAACAGGCATGTTACTGCTACCAAAAACAGGAAACAGGCATGTTACCGCTACCGACAAACAGGAAACAGGCATGTTACCGTTACTGACAAACAGGAAACAGGCATGTTACCGCTACCGACAAACAGGAAACAGGCATGTTACCGCTACGACAAACAGGAAACAGGCATGTTACCGCTACCGACAAACAGGAAACAGGCATGTTACCGCTACGACAAACAGGAAACAGGCATGTTACCGTTACCAAAAACAGGAAACAGGCATGTTACCACTACAGACAAACAGGAAACAGTTATGTTACCGCTACCAAAAACAGGAAATAGGCATGTTACTGCTACCGACAAACAGGAAACAGGCATGTTACCGCTACGACAAACAGGAAACAGGCATGTTACCGTTACCGACAAACAGGAAACAGGCATGTTACGGCTACCAACAAACAGGAAACAGGCACGTTACCGCTACGACAACCAGGAAACAGGCATGTTACCGCTACCGACAACCAGAAAACAGGCATGTTACCGCTACCGACAAACAGGAAACAGGCATGTTACTGCTACTGACAACAGGAAACAGGCATGTTACCACTACCAAAAACAGGAAACAGGCATGTTACTGCTACCGACAACCAGGAAATAGGCATGTTACCACTACCGACAACCAGGAAACAGGCATGTTACCGCTACCGACAAACAGGAAACAGGCATGTTACCGTTATCGATAAACAGGAAACAGGCATGTTACCGTTACCGACAAACAGGAAACAGGCATCTTACCGCTACTGACAAACAGGAAACAGGCATCTTACCGCTACCGACAAACAGGAAACAGGCATGTCACGGCTACCGACAAACAGGAAACAGGCACGTTACCGCTACGACAACCAGGAAACAGGCATGTTACCGCTACCGACAACCAGAAAACAGGCATGTTACCGCTACCGACAAACAGGAAACAGGCATGTTACTGCTACCGACAAACAGGAAACAGGCATGTTACCGTTACTGACAAACAGGAAACAGGCATGTTACTGCTACCGACAAACAGAAAACAGGCATGTTACCGTTACCAAAAACAGGAAACAGGCATGTTACTGCTACCAACAAACAGGAAACAGGCATGTTACTGCTACCAAAAACAGGAAACAGGCATGTTACCGCTACCGACAAACAGGAAACAGGCATGTTACCGTTACTGACAAACAGGAAACAGGCATGTTACCGCTACCGACAAACAGGAAACAGGCATGTTACCGCTACGACAAACAGGAAACAGGCATGTTACCGCTACCGACAAACAGGAAACAGGCATGTTACCGCTACGACAAACAGGAAACAGGCATGTTACCGTTACCAAAAACAGGAAACAGGCATGTTACCACTACAGACAAACAGGAAACAGTCATGTTACCGCTACCAAAAACAGGAAATAGGCATGTTACTGCTACCGACAAACAGGAAACAGGCATGTTACCGTTACCAAAAACAGGAAACAGGCATGTTACCACTACAGACACACAGGAAATAGGAATCTTACTGCTACCGACAAACAGTAAACAGGCATGTTACTGCTACCGACAAACAGGAAACAGTCATGTTACCGCTACCAAAAACAGGAAATAGGCTTGTTACTGCTACCGACAAACAGGAAACAGTCATGTTACCGCTACCAAAACCAGGAAACAGGTATGTTATCGTCAAACAGGAAACAGGCATGTTACCTCTACTGACAAACAGGGAATAGGCATGTTACCGCTAACAAAAACAGGAAACAGGCATGTTACCGCTAACGACAAACAGGAAATTGGCATGTTACCGCTACCAAAAACAGGAAACAGGCATGTTACCGCTACCGACAAACAGGAAATAAGCATGTTACGGCTACCACCAAACTGGAAATAGGAATGTTACCGCTACCAAAAACAGGAAATAGGCATGTTACCGCTACCGACAAACAGGAAATTGGCATGTTACTGCTACCAAAAACAGGAAACAGGCATGTTACCGCTACCGACAAACAGGAAATTGGCATGTTACCGCTACGAAAAACAGGAAACACGCATGTTACCGCTACCGACAAACAGGAAATAGGCATGTTACGGCTACCAGCAAACTGGAAATAGGCATGTTACGGCTACCGAAAACAGGAAAAAGGCATGTTACCGCTACCGACAAACAGGAAATTGGCATGTTACTGCTACCAAAAACAGGAAACAGGAATATTACCGCTACCGACAAACAGGAAATAGGCATGTTACCACTACCGACAAACAGGAAATAGGCATGTTACCACTACCAACAAACAGGAAACAGGCATGTTACCGCTACTGACAAACAGGAAATAGGCATGTTATTGCTACCAACAAACAGGAAATTGGCATGCTCTAGCATCACCTGCTCAGATTCATATTGTTTTTTCGAATGCTTCATGTTGGGATAATTACAGATTTAATGGGCCCAACATGTCTTTGGACCTAACCAAAAGTAAAAATACAACGAAAATATTTTCAATGTAGAGACACTTGGTGTGTGAAAATCCAGAGTTTATTTCAACCTTAACTTTTACGGAATCAAGGTCAATTCAGTTTAAGATCCACAGTAAACATATTGATTGTAGACAATGAAATGACATTGGAGTGAAAAGATCATTTATTGAATAAAAGGGCCCCTACAGCTTATACTGTCGCTCTTTGCAATGTGCCAGGCACGCATGATACTCATAGGGTTAATTATGCTAAAACGCAACAAGCGCTGTTCATCCTAAAATGGCAGCTGATCAGTTTTTTGCAACTCGCTTGGATTTGCCATGATTTTCTCTTATTCCCTGTGATATTTTAACTTCCATTTACCTCAATGACTTTGTAACAGAAGTCAATATTTTTTAAAATGTATCATGGATTTCCTCTGAGATTCACAGTAAGCAGTGAAAACGCTCATTAAATCGCTATTCCTGGGGTCCTAGGAGACGGATATTTCTGATACCGTAGCTCTAAGTGATTTAAAAATATACATAAAGTTTCAAAATGATTTAAGTGGTTTATAAACCACTATCCACCAGTGGGGGCTGTGTACACGCACGTCTTCTCGTTAAGCCACTACAAAGAAATATCAATCAAGTGTCACGGCACCTCAGGGAAAAGGGATTGTGATCTTAGATGGATGTATTGCGGGTCCACTAGCAGCAAAAAAGGTTAACTTAAAACTCATGTCGATCCAAGGAATACTTTTCAGAAGAAAAGAATTCCTTAGAAATACATTTTTCATTTTTTTTTTGTGTATGCAGAGCAGAAATGCTGAGTATTGAAGTTGTCTTGTTGGAAGAAAGATTGAAGAACATCTTGTTCCAAAAACCCTGGGCTTGTGTGAGCTACGTTACAGCTCGTTAGAGGATCAGACGCAGCAAGAGCCGGTCTGGTACGAATTAGCAAAACCTCTCTTCTTGGTGATCCCAGGAGGGAAGAGAAAACAAAAAAGAGAAATGCCAAAAAAAGTATATATCTAATAATCATAAAAAGAAAAAGAAATTCATATGGACTCAGTGTGGCCTGGAGCGCTTTGATAGAAGCAGTACTGAGCGCACAACGAAAAACACTTACATGCTCTCTGCTGAAAGGCTCGATGAAAAAGAAAGTGTCAGAATAGAGCAATACGCAGAACATGGGAAAAGTTCGACTTACTTCACCTCGCTTGGCGTACAGCTTCCTTAGAGAAACTGTGCGAATGATGGATGATCTGAAATGGGGAATAAAATACCCCGGGAATCATTTCAGTGGAACAGCTTTCCAGCTTAGCTGTCTTGTTGTAACATAATCACAAATGTAAGGCGGCGGGATGAGGGATTACGAGGGACGAAATACACTTTCCTTTGTTCCATGAAATCTGAGAGTTGATCCTGGCAATAAGTCTCCTTTCAGGTGCTTAGAACCTGGGGTCAGTGACACACGTCACCTGTACTAATCCGGCTCTTCCATCCAATCCATCTCTGCTCTGTGTTTACACACTCCTGGTTGACACAGGTTCCCGCAATTTATCCCTAATTATTTTAAGGATTTGAAGGCAATAACACTGCGGTCCCGGCACATGACACCCTCTACGCATGATTCTGAGCTGTTATTTTATAGCACTCTGTATAGCTGTTTTATATCTGTGTGATATTCAATGAATAAAGTATCAAACATGCAGGCTACATTTATTTATTTTCACTCATTTATTAGAGTTTATTTCTGTGGTGTAGAAGTGAGCTAAGCTTTGTCACCGCGCAGCACGGAAAGGGTTATCTTGGTGCATAGGGCCTACAAAATAGGATTTGCTTAGTGCAAGTATGAGACGCGCTTTTTTTTGTAGTTTTAACGTCAATCAAAGCCACAATCGTGGTGGGTTTGTAACGTCGGCTGTCTGTCTTTGGTCCATTGGACATGACTCATGTAGTGATGGTAAGTTTCATTTTAATACTTTTGTGTCTCAGGTCAGAATGTCCCCGCATCACCTCGACTCATCGGGAAATGATTTAGGATTTTCTGTGCAAATTGTGAGTCTGCTGTCATACTGTAATTACATCAAGATATATCGGAAAAATTCTTCTCGCCTCCAGAACGACAGGATACAAGCAAACTATAGGAGTAATTTACTCACAGAAGTTGTCACTAAAATAAAATAATTTTCAGAATTTCAGCACAATTCAGATTTAAAATTCTGGAGATAGATCAATAAATTATCTATAATAAAACCACTCCTAAGTAAATAATGAAGAATTAATTCTGAATGAGAGCCCTCTCGAAGCAATTCGTAGATGCTTGACCGGTGTATAGTCGCCATATGGGCAGTCGGAATCCAGGACAACCACCCTACATACCTATCCCTATAAGACGCTGCCGCTAGGGTATATGGGTCAAATTGTCCACAGCTTTTATTAAACAATCTTAATATAGTAACAAATATAATAATAATTATAATAATAATAACAACATATATACATGGGTCATTGCCCCCCATACTCCTCCCTCGCACCGTATCCTTCTGTTAATATAAAAGGCAATGACCCCAATATAAATAACACCACGGCAGGGGTATACCCGGATAACCCTACCCCACCAGGTTCTGAGCCACTGACAGGACTCGAAACCTAACAACCACCAATGACCACAGTTTTTCCCTTTCCATCACGTTCCTCATGGGGAGCCTATATCCTTTCCTTCAGCTCCCTATCCCGCCGCTGTGACAAAACGGGACAACCCCTCAGAATCAAAAACCCCAAGGGAGGGTGGGTGGGAAAACCTGACCAGGTAGGAAATAAAAAGTGACTCCGTTAAAATGGCTTCCTATTTAAATAGCCAAACCCACTTACCCATAACTCCAATCCCTGCTTCCTTCCTCCTATGCCCGCCTCCTAACCCCTGTCAAGGCCCTTTTCCGCTAAGCTGTGCTTTGGCTACATGGGGTATACAGTAAAAAAGTTAATTTTCAACACTTGTTCATATTTATATAAAATGCACAAAAAGCAAAGGGTTAAATGGTGAAAATAAAATACATTTTTAAAAATGCAGGTTCCTGCAGATCTCCTCCCTATCCCTATTGTGGTTGGGGGGCTGAGAATAAAACTTTTTCTATTCCTTCGTACCATGGATGGGAGCAGCTGGACTA